GTAATACAAATTTGTATCCTAGTATGTATATACTCACACCTTCCCAAGAACTCCATATGGTCCTAGAGGGTAATGTGTGGGATGCTATGGAAAGAGCTGTGTTTCTAAGCCTTCTTGGCCATTTCCCGTCGCACACAATCTTTCTCACCTCTCTTGAGCCTTGGTCTCCTCACCCATCCCACAGGAATGGTTTCCACTGGTGTTTGTGAGGATGTGGTGAGTCACTACATCGGGTATAAGAGCATTTCGCAGAAGCCCAGCCCTCTCTCCACAAGGGAGAGCCTGCTATTACAAGGTTAAGGAGGGTGTGGGTGGGGAGGCAACAGAGGCAGCAGGGAGCAGCATCACACATGGAGAAAAGGCCATGCACGTTAACAATACAGCTCACAAATGAGAGCAAATTAATACTGGGCCCAGGGAGAACAGAACATTCACACAACAGGAGCAAAGCACCTATTGGAGCTGCTAGGCCTTGACAGGGAGAAGGAAGCAGGATCTCAGGGGGAGAAAGGAGAGGGGCCAAGTGAGGGGGGGTTTCTGGTGCTAGGAAGCTGATCTAGCTGGAAACAGAAGGAAAGGTGTCAGCTACCAAGGAGAGAAATATGGGAGGAGGAAACGGTGGGGAGGGAACTCCCCACTTAGACCTGGGGAGCAAGTGGGAGCATCTGACAGCCCCTTCAGAGGGCAGCAGCATGGCAAGACAGTAATAACAAGGAGACATGACCCTCCAACATCAACACATTTGCCTTCATCCACTAGCAACTGGACCCAGACCACCAAGCAGAGGGTCACCAAGGCATGAGCGGCACACTACATAACCAGACTCGGTCCCCCAGCACAGCTATCTCCTTTGTCTTTGTGCTGTAAAACACTCAGGGTCCATTGACTAGGAGGCAGCGAGTCAAGCATCCCTCAGTTCAGATAAATCTGACAGTCCTGACAAATGTTTAGAAAGAAGAAAACTGGAAAGTGAGGGACAGTGAAGTAGAGCGCACTCCTAGATTGGAGCACTAGTAAACATTCTTATATAGCTTCCATTTCAAAGGCACCGAGCAGTCAAAATGAACAGCTCTGAGAATCAGAACATGGTTGTAGAGAGAAGCCAATCAGGGGTGCTAGGAAAGGGGAACACTCAGGCCTTTAGGGGAGCGCTATTTACCAATCACTAAAGAAGGAATATAAGGTTTTATAGGTAAGATGGTGTTACAGGTGAATGTCAGTCCTGATCCTCATTAGTAGAATCAGTCTTAGAGGGTCTAGGATTCTCAGGCAGGTAACTACCTCTCAAAACTCAAAGTGTCCCTTTTTCTGCTTTGCCTCTATAGAAAAGGTACATTAGATCGTGCTTATACGATTCAGTAGCAGTATCAGGTCCATGCCCATAATGCCAACTCTTTGTCCAAGTCCCCTGCATGAAGAATGCTAACATACCTGCTGCCCTATGATCAGGACCCACCCTTACAAGAACAGCAGTTCCAGTGTCAGAGAGCTTAGAGTCTGTGTTTATTTAAACAGGAAGAAACCATGGAGTCAGCTAACCCAGCACCCTCATTTAACGTGTGCAGTAACTGAGGCTTAGACATGGAAAGTATAAGGCCACATATATCCAATTGCTGCCAGAACTGAGGTGAACAGCAAGTTGTCCCTGTTTATATCCCAGGTTCTTTTCTCTTTCCTTCTTTGCTATTATTCCAAGTCTTCATTATATTTGAGCCAACATGCCAGAATATCTTCAGGGCCAGCCTTGCACATAGGTAAACAGCAGGTGATCCAATGTGACTCCCTGATTGTCTATCGCTGTGCCTGAAATTTTACCATCATGACTCATTCCTTTGGATCTTGAAGCTTTCTGCTCTTTGGGGATAGAGTATAAACAAGGGAGTGGGGAGTGTTGTTGACAATCGCTGGGAGAAAGGTGTTGTAAATTACAGCCAAGCTATAGGTTTGGAAAGAGCAGCAGCAAATGGTCTGGGGGATAAGACACAGGCCAGACAGAGAAGAACTCAGGGCAAGCATCTGAACCTGGGGCTTGGACCACCATGGCGGGGCAAGGAAAGAGTATTAGATTATTGAGCTACCCTCGAGCCACAAGCTTGAACACTCAGGAAGATTTTCAGCAAGAAAATGATACTGTGACCCAGGAAGTTTGAGTCACTGCTGGCTAGGGAGAAGGACGTGAAAGTGAGGGATAACATCAGGCTGTCTGGAGTGGCAGCAGGGGCACTTTATTAAGAGAAGCAGCCTGGGTGAGATGAATGTGACAAGGGAATCTATGAAGACGTCGAGAAGAGCCCCAGCCAAAAGAGGGATGGGCTCTATGGCTGCCAAGGAAGACTGGGTGTGGGATATGTCTGCTCCGCGTCTTCCCTAGGGACCTACTGGCTGCAGGTGCCCTGGCCCAAGGCCAAAGTGCTTGCTCTTCCTCCCTTTGGCTTTCTTTCTAATTCTTCTCCAGAGCTGTTCGAGGTAGCTCTGGGCTTGGCTCTGCTTCCTAGGTTCCTGAACCTTCCTTTAGACTTCTATCAGCGCTAGCATTCTTATAGCCAGTCTTTATTACAACCTGACAGGAACTGAGACTGGAAGGGAAGAAAGTGATTTTGCCCATCAGGACCCTATTTTTCCTTAGCGTGTGTTTGCTTTGAGTAGCTGTAAATCAAAATATTTCAAAGGATAACATTATCTTGCTTCTTTTCCAAAGAAAAAAGAAGAAAGAAAGAAAAGGAAAGAAAAAAGAAATTCTGAAGAGAATTGTTTGTGTTGTATTTTTATTTGTTATCATTATTCACTAACCAATATGGTATGACAACTCTTACATAACTTTTACATTGTATTGGATTTTTAAGTAATCTAGAGGTGATTTAAAATGTAGAAGAGGATGTTCAGAGATTATATGCAAACACTGTGCTATTTTGAATAAAGGAGATGAGCATCATTGTATCTTGGGATCTGTTGGGATCCTGAAACTTTCCCTGTAGATACTAAGGGACAATTGTGTTCTAATTTAAATTGTAGAGGTATGTGGAGTGGTTCGTGGGATGAGCTAAACAAGCAAAAGACCCTCCCGAAGTATCTACTAGTTCCAAGTCTCAGCTACATAGACTCCCTGCTATTACCAAAAGTAACTTCACCCTTTTGGCCACCATCTGCTGTCTGACATAAGCTATGTTCTTTCTGAATGGAATGTGTCTTAGGGCCTCAAGATGTTTCAACCCAGACACTTGCAACCCTGGGACTGGGTAATATCATGGGAGGAGGAGGCTACTATTGCCATTAGTTAGAGATTCAGAGCCCAGACAGTTCTACTGGTTCCATTCACATTCCCAAAACAATCTCCCCAGTTTAAGGCGAGATCATTCCTAACCGGTGTGTCATAGGCACCGCTGATAGAGAATGCTATTTCACAGAGCAGGGACTGCCTGGGTGCAGGCTCAGTAGTTCTGGAAAGATGAAATTCAGTGCAATCAATCTGGGAGAGTCATCTAGGATTTTTTTCAGCTTTACTTCCCAGGAGCCCCCTCCCACCTTGGAGACAGACTAATCCCTGACATTTGTCTAGTGGCTTTATACTTTCAAAGCTCCTTCACATCCATTACCTCCATCCAGCATCACAAACACTCCCAGAAAGCTGGACTGGAAGGTGTTATTATCCCTGTTTGACCAATAAGAAAACTGACACCCCAAAGGGATACATGACTCATTCAGGGTCATGCAGCCATTTAGTCAAAGAACTAGGGCTTTAAATGTTTCCTAACTTCCAGCCGTGTGATCCTTCAGCCTTACAAGGTGGACTCTCCTACAGGACTATGGAAGTACCCATCACACCGAGATATGAATAAATACTTGCTGCAGGAATGACCGAATGGATAAGCAAGCAAGCAAGGAAGAAACATACATCTACAAGGGTTCCTCTTCCTTTTGATGTTTTGAAAAATGGTATCACCATGTCTCCCATGCTGTTCTTGAATTCCTGGGCTTAAGTGATCCTCTATACTTGGCTTCTAAAATCTATAGATACAGCCAACCACACAAGTGTGTTACGTTATTTGATCATTTTGAAGGAGTACATGATCTTTCCCAATTCACCCACGTCAATGCCAAAGAAAGGCAAGCATGACATCCATAAGGAACCCAATGGGGCCTACTCTCCTAACAAAGCTACCTTCTACTCATCCTTCCCAGAGTACTGGCTTCCATGGGCCCTCACTCCAGCAACAGTAAGGAGTTAGAATCAGCACCACTGCGAGACCCTCCCCAAGTTGTCTCTGGGAGCTACCCTCTGGTTATCCATCAGTGGCTCTCTGGAGTTCTGTGGTGAGAGTTGGCTGAGAACACTGGCTGCTCTCATCTTTAGGACCTGAGCACGCTCCTCTACTTGATGAATTCTTAGCATAATCCAGACTTGAGACTCTGGGCCTGTCTTGGAGAGGACCACCTGGGTCCACACATTCCCCTCCCGCTTTTTCTGTCTCCCATAGAGCCTAGCACATAGTACGTACCTATCAAATGTTAAGAAATGAACTGCCTGTGCTAAAGAAGGATGCCTAGAGTTGCCACTTGTCCTTAGTCCAGTTAGACAAATGGGGAAAGGAGAGGTTTTCAAATGCTACCTTGCAAAGTGGAGTTTGTGCCAGCTAACCCCTTATTTAAGATCCCTGTGGTTTGTAACCTTGACCCCACCAGGTCAAGTCTCCTGAATCCCGGGGAGCATTTGTTTTGCTCACGCCCCCCCCCCCGCGCCTTAATTTTGTTTTCTGTACAATGAAGAGGGTGCTGGAATGAGAAAACGAATTCAAAGCAGTGTCCAGCCCAGTCAAGCAGCAGCTGGATTATCCACACACCTCTGTTCCCACAGGGAGGGGTCCCCCAGGGGCACCAGATTGCTCCTGAGGCCAGAATCCAGGTGGAAAGGAGGGGCTGAGGCTGTATTTACCAGCCCTGTGCTTAGTTCATCACCTCAGCCTCAGCTCTGGGGCCCAGCCAGTCGCCTCCTTCTTTAAGATTCTGGTCACAGCAGGGGCTGGGTTTCTAAGGCAGGCGTGATCTTTCTCTTCCTACAGACGCCACTGCCGCTAGTGTCTGCGCTGGGCACAGGCAGGGGCAGAGCGCGGGAGAGACAGCGGCTGGCGGGAGGGTTCCCGGCTCTGCAGGCACGCAGCCAGCCAGGGCCTGGAGAGGGTCCCCGACAGTAAGTACTGCACCCCAGCAACCAGGCTTGGGCTTGCCTGGGAAAGGGTACTATAACCGGGCGGGTGTGGGGTTATGAAGTCCGAAGAGATTGCTAGGGTCCTCATTGGCACCTCAGAGTGACTTGGGGGTAGCTCTGGAGCATGCACCTTCCTTCTGGGCGCGCCCCCTTCCTAGCTTCCCTGGGGAGATGGGTAGAGGATGCACAGAGTTGGAGCTTCTTCGGGGGTGACGTTCCTCTCCATCCCCCACCTCAAGCCCCCAAGGATTCCTTCTAGTTGCCAAGAGGCCCTCGGGTAGGTCCGCGGTGTCACGGACCAGAAAACTGCAAGGCAAGATGCAAGCGGGACAGAGGTTTGGATGCCAATGGCAAAGTGGCAGCAGGAGCGGGAAGTTTTCCTGCTGAGGTGGGGGGCAGGGAGCAAAGAGGGTGAAGAGAGGCTAGGAGAGCAAAAAGCTGGAGGGGAGGGCAGGCAGTGCCTCTAGGTGTTGGAACCCAAGACCAGTAATAGCAGCCAGATTCTCCAGGACCCTCTCCAGGTGAGAGCTTGGCTTCTCTGTGAGCCGCTGAGTCCAGTGGGGGAAAGATCTGGGATTCTAGCCTCTTCTCTGTTTGCCAGGCATAGTGGCTAGGTTGCGCTCCCGGGGATCTTTGAAGGTGGGGGAGGATGCCCAGGGGATACTGTTTGCATTGTAGGGAGGGGACAGCTGAGACTTGAGTGTTCTCCACGCTGAGGAACATGACCACTGTACCCACCTGGGTGGTACATTATTTACAGACATAACATTAGCAAGTGAGAATGAGCAGGAACATGTCTGTCACTGTTTTCTATTGGTTGTGTAAAATTCAGAGGGTGTCAGGCCTGAAAGCACAAAGACTCATGTCTCCCTTCTGTTTTCCGTCTTCAGCTCTATTGGTTAGGCTCACTAAGCTCTTTACCTCCCAGCAATAACAAGTCATATGCAATAATAACAACAGTAGCTGTCATTTGCTTAGAGCTTGCCAGGCACAATGCTAAGTACTTTACATGCATTATTTTGTACAATCTTTACAAAAATCCTGTAGGGTAAATACTAATATTATTCATATGTTACAAAGGGGGAAACTGAGGCAGAGAGAGGCCTTTAAGGCCGTGGCCCAACAACCAGAGAAAGGTGAATCTCAGACTTCAGCCCAGTGTTCCTTCTTACACATCCCCATTGGTAACTACTGGAAACATGATGGTAAGCTGACTTTCATGAGGTAATGTTTTTTAAAAGGTTGATTTCCCTGTGGCAAAACTTATTTTAATTCTGTTTTTCTGAAGTCAGGGCCCAGTCCCAACAAATGTTGAATCAATTTTCCAAATCACCACCAATTACCAATTGTGGAGAAGGACAAACAGTGGGCCAGAAGAACACAGCAGATCCTATCACTTGATGTCCAATGATAATAATAATTGCCAGCAGAGCCTATAAATGAGCACTTGCTTTGCCAGCATGTTTCATGTACCAAATCTGTGTATAAATGCTTCGCTGTGAGTCCTGTGATGATTGTCGCTTTCTAGACAAAGGAACTGAGGTTTAAGATTTGGGCTTCCAACCCAGACCCTATAACTCTAAGCCCAGAGTGAGCTGTAACAACCCCTTGGCAGATCTGTGCATGAAAACAGGGGTTTGTATTTACTGCAGTCCCCCAGCCGGTTGCCCAGAACGCTGCACTGTCTTTCTCCTTTCTCAGCTCCTTCTACACCAAAGAAGGAATTGCATAGATGGGTGGAGAGCAGGCTTCCAAAAGATAGAGTGTTCTGGATGGATTTGGGTTTTGTTGTTGTGCTAAGTGCCATGCCTGTAACATCAATAAGTTGTTATGCTTTATAGGTTTTATTAATTAAACAAGTGTCTGGTTTGCTGGCTTGGAGTTACTAATCCGATATTATGGCTCTATCTGAGTACCTCTGTTAGGAGTTACTTTAAAAAAAATATTTATAGTGATAGGCAAAATTGTCTTTGTATCCCCTGAGGGGAGGGGGTCTTGTTTTGAAACTACAACTTTGGTAGCAGAAGCTGCAGCCTATGCATCTATATTATTGTTGTTGTGCCCCCTCCCAGCATGGTTCCTTAAGCTGAAACCTATATGTAAGTAAATCCTTTGAGGCTGTTCCTGGGTTACATCTAACCCTTCAGTGGGGTCCTTTGTAATTTCCTCCTGCCTTCCCAGCCTATTCAAAGAGCTAGCATTGAACAGACCCTCTTCAATATAGGGTGTGTGAGCTCCATGCCTTTGGTCTCTGGGACTATGGTGGGATCTTATGGAACCTGTGTCAGTCTACCTTTCTTATTGCTCCTACCAGAGGGGTCTTCCATGTGTAGTTACATGTGGAGCATGAGAAATGCTCTGGTAATCCCAGTATTTTCAGGGCTGGGCCCTCCTCTCCATGCTCTCAGCAGAGTAAGGCCATTGCATCATTTCATAAAGCTACATGAAAGGAATCAGTGGGGAACTGAGCTCTAATTAAAGTTTTGCTTGAATTTATTCTGTAATTTCTTCTAATTGCAGTGACTTAAGCACCCAGAGGTCTCTCCTCTTTGCTGACTCTTCCTAACTATTCATTTGCTGTCACATTTGACATTCCTTTCCTGGAATGTCCTTCTCACCTTCACCACTCTGCCAGGGTAGAGGAGATCTGCTGGGAGATACCCTCTGTGTTCCCACAGCATCCTCTGTTGCCCTCTGTGCAGCCAGGTAACCTGTGGTTTTGTGTGTGCTTGCATACGTGTCTCCACATGAGACTGCAATCTCCCTGGAGGGAGAGGCTCAGTACATAGTAGATGTACAATAGAATTTTTTAGTGCATATACAAATGAAAGAATGAGTTAATGCTATCCGAAAGCTGCAGAGGAAAGTCTCTCATTCACAGCAAGGGACTAGGCCATCCTTCCCTTTATAAGAAGGCAAACAGAAAGAGAACTTGCATCAGTCGTCAAGAAAGCCCTGGCTCTGTGTGGTTTAATCAATCAAATCAAAATGCACTATAGTGCCAAAACCTGAAGGCTTAGGAAAGGGCTTGTTTAGTTAATAGGCTACTTGGGTGTGGTAACTAAAAGTTAGTCCTCAAAAATTATTATTTGTCTAGATTTTTTATTGAAAATTCATACAAAAATTCTGATCATCATTTCCCCTCTCCATCTCCTCCCAGATCCTCCACAACTCCCCCCATATCCAAGTTCATCCTTCTTTCTTTTGTTAGAAAACCAACAGGCAGATAAAAAACGAATAAATAAATATATAAAATAAACAAATGGAGAAAAAGCACAATGCACATACCCCCCCATAGAAAACTCCTACAAGAACAAAACTGGAAACCATAATGTATATACAAAAGACCGGTGAAATTTTAAAAAGTGGCCAAACAAAGCAATATGAGATTTTTAAAAATCCATAAAAAACACCATGAAATTTGTTTTGTATTGGCCATCTACTGCTGGGCATGGGGCCTGCCTTTAAGTGTGGTTTGTATACACAATGGAACTCCATTGGAGAAAACTTGTTTTTCCTTCACAAGCAGTTGTCAATTAAATAGCTTATTGGTTAGGGATGGGACATATGTCCTTTTCCCTTCCCTGCACTGGGGCCCATCTGAGCCCATGTGGACCTTGTGCATGCTTGCCAATCTTTGTGAGCTCCTAAGTGTATCTGTCCTGCTGTGTCTAGAAGACATTACTTCCTTTGTGTCCTCCATTCCCTCTGGCTCTTACAATCTTTCTGTCCCTTCTTCTCCAGGTTCCCCTGAGCCCTGAGGGGAGGGATTTGATGAAGACATCCCATTTAGGACTGAGTGCCCAAGGTCTTTCCCTTGCTGCCCATTGTCCATTATTGGCCTCTGTATTTGTTCCCATCTACCTCAGGAGGAAACTTCTCTAATGATGGCTGAATGACATTTGTCTATGGATATAGCAGAATGTCATTGGGAGCCATTTTATTCCTGTGTTCCCTTAGCAGAACAGTAGAATTTGATTTTCCCAGGTCCATGGCCTACCTAGTCTCTTGACCGCCAGAACAGTGTCAGGCATGGGTTTCATCTCATATAGTGGTTGGCTAATCCCACAACTTTTGTGCCACTATTTCAGGCAGGTCACCATTGTGGGTCACAGCTTTTTATGGCTGGGTTGGTGATTACCTTTCTCCTCTGGTAGCATGCAGAGTACCTTCCAGTACTATGAACACTAGTCAGAAGGGATAGGCACCAGCTCAACATCACCATTTTCAATGAGTTGTATAATTGTTATCTTTAGCAATACGACCTTATCATCAGTTTGTGGAGAGTAACAAATAGCCTTAGCAATAGCCTGAGTTGCTTAGGGATTCTCATGGGTCCCCTTTGGCCAATGACTCAACTAGATGTAACCTATTCCTGGTACTGGAGGTTTCACTTGGTGGAAGATGTCTAGTTGAGGTATTGCCTCCCTATTATTTGGTGAATCCTTTTAGATTTCTCTCTTGTATGTACATATTTTAAGAACCTTCTACTGTAGTAAGTTTCCATATGGCTTCTCGTATTGTTTGTGATGTTAGTTTCCCCCTTACCCCCCTCTTCCTTCCCTCTCCTCATTTTATCCTCTTGTTTCAGTCTGTCCCATCTCTCCATAACTATAGATTCTATTTCACCTTTCTCGGGAGATTCTTCCTTCCCCAATAGTCCCTTACTTACTCCATGCCTACCCTCTGTGGTTATATGGATTGTAGACTTTGACAGGAACTTCCTGCCCATGGATTCATCAACCTCACTCCTCTCTTCTGACCCTAGTTCAGGACAGACCTTAAAATTCCTTCTTCTCTCACAGCAGGAAGATGCAATTAGGCAGAATAAAAGGTGTCTCCTTGTCCTGAGGCTGCAGTTAGCATCTCTGGACAACTCCTGGCAGGGTGTTATGAGTTAACTGGGCCTCTATTCACATCCTTTCCTTTGTCTAGTGGCTTCTTGACCTAATTTCTGCCTTGCATTTGGGGAGGGCTGATTG